CCAGGAGGTTGTGCTGTCCCATCCTCACACAGCCCTGCTACTGGGGGGAGGGAGGGGAGTGGCCACATAGGAGTTTGGGGGGAGGCAGAGGGGAGCAGTGCGGCCACCTCCCAAGGGCTCAAGCATCCCCTCTCTAATTCTCTGTTTTGTGTGTTTCTTTGTCTTCTTCTGCAGGTGGTGAGGCCATCAACTCCCTCCTGCTGTGAAGGGTCATCCGTGTGGGAGACCTGGATGTGACTGTGGCTGGATTTTCCACCCTAGGGTTCCTGAACTGTGGGGGAGCAATTGATGGGACCACAATCCCATCCACACACCATACTATTGAGTAGCCCAGTACATAAATTGGAAGGGCTACTTTTTCCGTTGTCCTGCAGGCCCTGGTTGACCATCGGGACAATTTACCATCATTTTTGTCGGGTGGTCGCGCAGGGCGCACGATGCCCACATGTTCAGGAACTCAAGCCTGTACCATAAGCCAGAGATGGGTACATTTCCCCCCCTTCCCCGCCAGGACTTTGCGGTCGGGGATGTGCACATGCCTCTGTGCATAGTGGGGGACGTGGCGTACCCCCTCATGCCATGGCTCATGAAGCCATACATTTCCAGTACCACCTCACCCGCATGGACGTAGAGGAGCACAACATCCCCAGGGTGGTGGCAGCATGTTGTGTCCTCCACAGTATTGTGGAGCAGAAGGGGGTGAAGGGCATACACCGACCACAAGGACCGAGTGTTCGAGCAGCCCCGGACAGCTGTCATCTGCCAGGCCAATCAGATGGGGTAAGAGAGGGGGAGCATCCGGGAGGCCCTGAGGGACAGGTTTTGTCAAGCATCCCACTAACTCTCCCCAGAGCCTCCCCCAATAGGGGCCTCTGGCTTGCTGCTTTATCCCTTCCCCACTACAACCCCTCTCTTTGCCCCTTCCCTGACCTTCCAATAAACACACCGGTGTGTCTGACAAAGTGCGACCACTCACCTGAAGGTCCCTCCCAAGCATCCAAGGAGATATTGTGGCTCACAGGAACCAGCTCAAGGAAAAGGGTCACGGTGCCCATCTCCTCCTCCTCTACCTCCAGCGTGGTCGGCTGGTCTCTGCTCTTCCCAGTCTCATCTCCTCAGCTTTTGTGGCAATTCCTCTTCTGCCAACCAATCACTCAGTCTCCTGCCAGAAGATGCCGGAAGGGTGATGCTGTTCAAGCTTGGGGATTGGGAGCTGTAAGTCTCATTACTCAACAGCCACTGCTTGATCAGCTGAAGAGTGATTTAGTACAGCAGTTCCCAACCACCAGTCAGCCACGTGCTACAGCTGGAGCAGGCTGCTGTGAAGCTGACCCTATTGGGGCAGGCTCATCACAGCCCTGGTTCCAGCTCTGTGGCAGCCACACCGACTGGCTGGCAGGGCCACGTGGCAGGTGGCTGCTTCAGGGGGTGGGGCTGTTCCTAGAACAACCAGCCCTCATGGTTGAGTGGAGCTGCTCCAGGGTGGCTGGGGCCTCATGGTGGAGCAGGATTCCTCAAGGAGACTGGGACTTTTCCAGGGGCCAGGGCTGGCCGGGCTATGTGGCGGAACGGACTGTTCCGGGGGCCGGGGCTGCTCCGGGGGTGGCTGGGCTGCGTGGCAGAGCTGGCTGTGCTGAGCCCTGTCTGTACTGAGCCCTGAGGCCTGGTTCAGGGACTCCCTGGTAGGGTGACTGGGATTGAGCAGGGGATGCCACTACCCAGGTGTCTGGAGGGGGGTGAAGGGACAAGGTGGGAAAAGCTCTCTGAGCTGGAGTCAGCACCCCACCGCTTTCAGCCTAGCTTCTCCCTGGCTTGGTACCCCTTTTTCTTTTCTGTCCCTCCCTTCTTCTTCACCACAGCCCCCCTTCTCTTGCCCTGCCTGCTTTACCCCTTTGCCTCTCTCCAAAAATTATTGAAAACCAGTTCTATTCTGCAAAGCATGCCAACTGTTTAACAATGTATGATTTTGATCTTCTCATGCACACAATGATATGTATTGTGTGTGTACAGATGCAATGTAAAATGACGACGTGACCACTCAAAATTAATTGCCACAATGAATACTCAAATATGCAAATAAATTAATTCCCATAATGAATCCGCAAATGTTTCAGTGATGGTCCGCCAAATGTTTTTGAATGAGTTTGCCAGTCAGTGGTATACAAAAGTTTGGGAAGCACAGGTTTAGTAGGTTTCCACTTGGTCTTGGATGTTAGTTGGAATTTGGAACCCTGCAGCGATAAGGTTAAAATAGAAGCGTTCTCTGTGTTCTGTGTGAACGACTGCCCAATCCTGGCAAAAGATAATAATAATCCTGTTATTCAACAAAGTGCATTTTGTGGCATGAACAGACACTTGTATTGCTAAAATGAAAGCCCATTGTTTAAAAAGCATGGGTTTTAAAAGCTGCTATACCTCTCTTTGTGTCCAGAGAATTCAATAGATTTAGACAGTATATATTTTGAGTCTCTTGGCATTTTACTTTTTTCTGGGCAGAAATAAAGGAGTGAAGCATGTCTGTATCAGTTTGTTTTATTGCCAGTCATGTAAAAGGGCATATCTTATTATTTTATCTAGTGGTCTGGCTATTTCTAATGAAAGGTTGCCATTGTGACTTTTTCTGATCCTTTCACTTTTAGTTTCGGGCCTTCTCTTTCCTGCTAGAAGAGGATTGTTTTGTTTTTAATATTGGGGGTGACTAATGCATGTGAGTTATCCCAAGTTGAAAGCACATTCAGGACAAAACATTTTAGTTTTATCCTGAGGTAAACTAGGTGTGATGGAGTGTGGTAGCTGAGTAGTTAAAGTGCTCTACCATAATTCTAGAGGCTCTGAGTTTGTCATGTGGGAACGCTGGCTTAAGTTCACCCTGCTGCAAAGTGGGTGCTCTGACCCATCTGGTTAGGGAAGCCAAAGGTGGTCAGATTCAGCAGCCACATTCCTCCTTAGTCTACTGCTGCTATAGAAATCTTAAACCGTGTCAGTTTATGGGGCCATCTTTGGCTTGATGCAGAAACTAGGGGAGGTCAGGGTCAGATAGAGGTATAATGCCGGCATTGGTTAGCTTGCAGTAAAAACTAAAGTGTCTTGTCTTTACTGTTTCCACCTCAGGATCACTCCCATGCATTAGTTATCCCCAGGTAAAAGCAAACTTTTTTTTTTCGAAATTAGAGCCAAGACCTTAGTATAAAGTGCTCTTACTATTTTCCTCTTGGTGAAACTTAGCTCTGGTGCCTACACAGAGACCTCCAATAAGACATATGGTCTGCGTGTCTACAAGGGAACCAGCCACACAAGCCTTGGAAGGCAGTACCAAATAGAATTGGGGACATTTGAGTACAGGGGAAAGATAAGGAGAGGCAATAGATTATGTGACTACATACATTCAGTAACCCTAACATCCTGTGGGTAGCAATCGTGTCCCTAGCCTCTGTTTGTCAAAGGCTGGGAATGGGTGACAAGAGGAGGAGGGATCACTTGATGGTTTCTGGTCTGTTCATTCTCTCTGGGTCACCTGGCATTGGCCACTGACAGGTGACAAAATATTGTGCTAGTTAGACCTTTGGTCTGACCCAGTATGGCCATTCTTATGTTCTTCTGGGTTTTGGAGCCATTTATGTATGTATCTTGAACAACAGCTGACAAGGGGATGCCATGCACACTGCCAGAGTTACAATTCAATATCCACCTCTTAGTAAGGTCCCCACACAAACCCTAGTTGAATAGGTGATTTTGTGCAAAAGGGTGTGTTTCACCCCTCTAAACTAGAATGTTCATGATCATGATTTTGCATTCCGTGGTAGATTTGAGCATGTTCTCTTTTGCTGATTTGTTGTTCAATTCAACATGGTCTGTCAAAACAATGTCAACATTATCAGCTGAAAAATGTAATTGACTTTCTGATGTTTTTCAAAAATAACATCACTCAAGTAAGATAATCTGTTATGACAAACAAATCTAGCATCATCTTGGCTACCAGTGATTTTAAGTATTGTGATAGCTCTTCATTTGAACATTTCATCCCAATAACTTCAAGCCCAATAACTTCAAGCCTAACCCCATGTTATTATTAAACTCAATATCTGTATATTTGTTACTGATCCAATTCTAACAAACACTGTACTTCTGTCAGTGATATTAGTGCATGAGTAGGTTTTTTATTTTAAATTGCTTTCAGACCACTGGCTCAGTTTTGCCTGCAATTAAAATGATGATTGTAATTCTATGGTTAAAAAGCATATTTTCTATGGCTAAAAAGCATACCCAAAAGTTCATGCAAAATGGCCTACATCTACATGCCCAGTACAGCTAATGCTGTTGAATGATTCCCAAGAGTATTTAACAAAATGTTCTATAACCAAGAACTTTCAATCAGTGTTCTTTTACTAAAGGAGCACAGTGGTCTAAAATGATCTTTTTCATTGTGGTTTTGAAACCATTCTCATTTGACTAAACCCTAAGATGGTCTTTGACACCGTGGCTGACCATTCTATCCATAATGAGCCTCTAAAAGCAATGTTGTGCCTGTCTGTTTATTTAGGTGAAGTATTTTTGTTTAATTATCACCATGTTGACAATCCTGACAAGCAAGTATAAAAATGTTGTGGAGCACCATTTTCCTCTGATTGAATACAATAACGATATATGTGTGTTCCTGCCGTCCACTTGAAGTTGCCTCCGTTTTTTAAATAAATTTTAATTAAGGAAACAAATTTTAAGTGTCCTTTTTTCACCCTGCATTGTCTCTTGAACGTCATGTTCCATGATTCATAAAGACTTGCTTCCACCATCCGAAAAACATTACTTAGAGGTCAGGTTAATTTTTTGCTGCTTCCACCAGCCTCATCCATGCTTTCATTTTATTCACACTAACTTTTTAAATAGCCCATTTTTAGTGTTGCCAGGCAAAATGTTGATCAAGTATCAACTAGTGCAAAATTCTAACAAAGGACAAATCACAGCTTTGCCATAAGTGCTAAGAGTGGAGCAATTCAATATACTTCTCAGTTTTCCCCCTTACTCCAATGGGGATGTATTCTGTGCCAGGCCTATGCCTGCTGAAGAGTACTTTCCCTGATGCCAGCTCCAGCTACACTGGTGGCTCAGCCCAATTAGGGACCTTCATTTCTGGGACATTAGCATCTTTCTATGCAGCATCAAAATTGAATTAATTTGGGGGGAAATCCTGTAGTTCTTATTCAGGAAAAACTGACTAAGGTTTGTCTAAAGACAAATAAGGCTTATATATTCATATTTGCCATATCCTTACATATATTATTCCATATATAATAGCATTATCCTGTAAGCTAAGTCATTTAACTGATTTTTCTCTTAAATAAGAAAACTAAGTTTTCTAGAATGAAGACATTATATATATAGTAATAGCAATGTTCATTATGAGAGGCTTAATTATGGTCATCATTTACCAAAAAAATCAAAGTCTTGTCACAGAAAGCATAATAATGAATAGCTCTTGTTTAAAAATGAATGAACCATTTTTTTTCTGATGGTATGAAACCTACTTGTCTGCAGGGTGTCATCATTTTTATTCTCTTGTTTAAAAGAATTAATATTCATGCAAATTAGAATCCAAATAATTGAAGAATGAAGGCCTTTTTGCATTACAATTTATGTATCTATGTGTTTACTTACGTGGAAAATAACATAAAATCAAAAAGAGGACCCTGATAAATGAGTGTAATTTCCAGTTGTGCTGAAATTATTTTGGATTTAGAGCAAAATTGGGCGCGTAAATCACTGATGTGTTTAACTTTACTCTGCATCCAAACCAGTATGCCTAAGAGTCAAATTCTGCCACTCTTACTCATGAATAGAGCCATACTCTCTGGCTACGTCTAGACTGCATGCTTTTCCGGAAATGCTTTTAACGGAAAAGTTTTCCGTTAAAAGCATTTTTGGAACAGAGCGTCTAGATTGGCACGGACGCTTTTCCGCAAAAGCACTTTTTGCGGAAAAGCGTCTGTGCCAATCTAGATGCGCTTTTCCACAAAAAAGCCCCGATCGCCATTTTCGCGATCGGGGCTTTTTTGCGGAAAACAAATCTGGGCTGTCTACACTGGCCCTAAATGACTTTTTCCCCAATGGGAGCAGCATAGTATTTCCGCAAGAACACTGACAATCTTACATGAGATCGTCAGTGCTTTTGTGGAAATTCAAGCGGCCAGTGAAGACAGCTGGCAAGTTTTTCCGGAAAAGTGGCTGATTTTCTGGAAAAACTGGCCAGTCTAGACAGCCTATGAGTAGCCTCAATGAAACTGAGAATTTACTGAGGCTATATCTAAACCACAGGGCCTACAGCAACATAGCCACAGTCCCATTGGCATGCTGGCATAACCCCACAGCCTACTCCTAAGGAAGGGGATTGCCATCGCTAAAAGAACACCACTTCCCAGAGCAACAATGGGTAGGTTAACACAAGCATTCTTCTGTTAGGTAGGAATTTTTCACATCCCTGAGTCCTCTAGCTATGCTGACCTAAGTTTTAAGTGTAGAGCAGGCTTTAATACTACTTAAAGGATGGAATTCACCTCAGAGGGATAGCACAGGCCTATGAATAGGATTCAGATGTGCATATATGGTACACAGGACTAATGTTAGCTAATTTCTGCATTAGGGTTAATTTTCCCTCCAAATGAGGAAAGGATGATAGATTCTTGCCTTGGTTTTTGAAAGGGTTTGCTTTTTGTGATAGAAGGATCTGGATGTAGGTAAATTGCCCCTCTCTTCACTTCTATAATAAAGCAGTTCAGAAACATACCTCCTGGTGATGTCACCGATCCTGTAAGTCATCCGTGAAATAACCTGTGCTAAGCTACATGCAGTAATGAATCATAACTGTGCTAGACTCTAACTAATCCACAAAGCAGGAGCGGACCTGGTGACTCTCAGGGCAGGTATACAAGCCTCATAGGAGAAGTTAAGGGAGTATGGATTGGATAAATGGACTGTAAGATGGATAGAAAGCTGGCTAGACTGTCGGGCCCAACAGGTAGTGATCAACAGCTTGATGTCAGGTTGGCACTCTGTTTCTAGAGGAGTGCCCCAAGGATCGGTTCTAGGACTGATTTTTGTTCCACATCTTTATTAATGATCTGGATGAGGGGAGGGATTGCACTGTCAGCAAGTTTGCAGATGACACTAAGCTAGGGGAAGAGCTAAATATGCTGGAGCACAGGAATATGGTCCAGAGTGACCCAGACAGATTAGAGGATTAGGCCAAAAGAAATGTGATGAGGTTCAACAAGAACATAAGAATGGCCATACTGGGTCAGACCAAAGGTCCATCCAGCCCAGTACCCTGTCTGCCAAGAGTGGCCAATGCCAGGTGTCCCAGAGGGAGTGAATTGAAGAGGTAATGATCAAGCGATCTCTCTCCTGCCATCCATCTCCACCCTCTGACAAATGGAGGCTGGGGACACCATTCCTTATCCATACTGGCTAATAGCCATTAATGGACTTAACCTCCATGAATTTATCTAGTTCTCTTTTAAACCCTGTTATAGTCCTAGCCTTCACAGACTCTTCAGGCAAGGAGTTCCACAGATTGACTATGCGCTGTGTGAAGAAGAACTTCCTTTTATTTGTTTTAAACCTGCTGCCCATTAGTTTCATTCGGTGGCCCCTAGTTCTTATATTATGGGAACAAGTAAATAACTTTTCCTTATTCACTTTCTCCACACCACTCATGATTTTATGTACCTCTATCATATCCCCCCTTAGTCTCCTCTTTTCCAAGCTGAAAAGCCCCAGTCTCTTTAATCTCTCCTCATATGGGACCCATTCCGAAATCCTAATCATTTTAGTTGCCCTTCTCTGAAACTTTTCTAATGAAAAATATATTTTTTTTGAGATGAGGAGACCACATCTGTATGCAGTATTCCAGATGTGGGCGTACCATAGATTTATATAAGGGCAATAAGATATTCTCCATCTTGTTTTCTATCCCTTTTTTAATGATTCCTAATATCTTATTTGCTTTTTTGACTGCTGCTGCACACTGCATGGATGTCTTTGGAGAACTATCCACAATGACTCCAAGATCTCTTTCCTGATTAGTTGTAGCTAAATTAGCCCCCATCATATTATATATATATAGTTGGGGTTATTTTTCCCAATGTGCATTACTTTACATTTATCCACATTATCCACAAGTGTAGAGTCCTGCACTTGGGATGGAAGAATCCCAAACATTGTTACAGGCTGGGGAACGAATGGCTAAGTAGCAGTTCAGCAGAAAAGGACCTAGGGATTACAGTGGCTGAGAAGCTGGATATGAGTCAACAGTGTGCCTTTGTAGCCAAGAAGGCTAATGGCATATTAGGTTGCATTAAGAGGAGCATTGCCAGCAGATCCAGAGAAGTGATTATTCCCCTTTATTTGGCTCTGGTGAGGCCACATGTGGAATATTCTATCCAGTTCATGGCCCCCCACCATAGAAAGGATGTGGACACATTGTAGAGGGTCCAGCAGAGGACAACCAAAATGATCAAGGGGTTGGAGCACATGATTTATGAGGAGAGACTGAGAGATTTGGGTTTGTTCTGTCTGCAGAAGAGAAGAATGAGGGGGGAAGTGATAGCAGTCTTCAACTTCCTGAAGGGAGTTTCCAAAGAGTATGGAGAAAGGCTGTTCATGGTAGTGATAGATAGCAGAACAAGGAGCCAATGGTCTCAAGTTACAGTGGGGGAGGTCTATGTTGGATATCAGGAAAAACTATTTCACTAGGAGGGTGATGAAGTACTGAAATGGGTTACATAGGCAGATGGTGGAATCTCCTAGAGTTTTTTAAGTCTCAGCTTGACAAAGCCCTGGCTGGGTTGATTTCGTTGGGATTGGTCCTGCCTCGGGCAGCAGGTTAGACTTGATGACCTCCTGAAGTGTCTTCCAGCCCTATGATTCTAAACAGCAGATCAGTCCCCTAGGTGTCATTTCATGGTTTACAACCCCACCTATGCCTGCTAGTGGTAACATTCTTCACAGGCTTTAGCCTGTTCCAACCTTCCTCTTGCTCCAATGCGCTCCTAGACCCGCTCCACCATTTTTCTAACTGCACTCAGAATGCTTGTTTCTGGCTCCAAGCACTAGACCTCACCTTCCCTGACGTGGTTTCTAACAGTGAGCCAACTGAACCTAGTCTGGTCTATTGGTTAGAGTGGTACCAGTCAGGTCTAGTGGAAATAGAGTCTAGAGCAGTGTTTCTTAAACTTTTTAAGACCAAGGAACACCAAACAAAAAAAAAATTTATGAGGAACATCAAGGATTTTTTGTTGAGGAAACCAAAAAAAGGAAGTTATTAAGCAAAAAAAAAAAAAAAAAAAAAAGTCCCCTGCCCCTTTAGTCTGCAGAAGAGAAGAATGGGTGGCCATTTTGAATTCTGTTGTTCTCCGTGGCACACATCCGACTGCCTCGCGGCACACTAGTGTACCATGGAACACAGTTTAAGAAACACTGATCTAGAGTCCAGAGGAGGGCTGTAGCAGGCAAAGGCCTATGGAACCTGCCATGTACTAGATATGGACTGGCTTCAGAGCTTGCCTCTACACATTAGATGTGTTCCTTATATAACTCTTTAATACTCTGTCCAGTATGAGGTGAATTTAAATAAGGTTTGTTTCACACAGCATCACCTAGTGTGTGAACAGTGTAATAGAAGTTAGTATTCCTTGCAGAGCCTGT